CTTTGTGACAATAGACAGTTTGCAGGAAAAAACCTTGACCTGATGTGCAACAACAACGAAGGGTCAGTGCCCAATTAAAGTATATAATTGAAATCTTTCCCATTAAAGCCAGTTATAAAAGATTATCTCGACTGGAAAAGAGGTGTTCTCTGCGATACGAAAGATAACTCTGCCTATTTTTCATCTTGATATTAATTAGCAGTTATTTCCCCTGCCATGTCTAACGCTGTACAGAATGCAATCAGAACGACACTGGAACATGCAACAAAGGTCGAGTTGATTATTGGCCCTGGGAACGAGGGTGATGGGGTGTGGAGGGGAGGGGAGGGGAGTGGGATGCAGAGCAGGAAGGGGTGATGTTTGCTCAGTAGGTGTTATGCTTGACTGCAATACAAAAGACACATGCTCGAACGCTCAACGATCACTGTCTTTTAACTTTATTGATTTGTCTGAAGAATTTTCGTGGCTTCCAACCCTTCCTGAAAGAGCCAACAGGGGCTGATGGGGATGGGATACAACGCAGAAAGACTGAGATGCCTTAAATTCCTTCGCTCTCGGAAATGGAACTCGGGTTTCCAGCGTGCGACACCTAACCACTTACACCACAAACGCCGGTGAACACTTCTGTAACGTAGGCAATAAATACTAATAAACATGTCCGTGGCCTACATTCTTGTCCTCGGCTTTGAAGTAATTGGTCTAAACTCATACCGCCCCCCCCCTCCTTCTCTCTCTCTCTCTCTCTCTCTCTCTCTCTCTCTCTCTCTCTCTCTCTCTCTCCACGGCTACTTCGGCAAACGAAATAAGCGTACATGAAGCTATTCTCTTGTTTTTACGGCGCTCGCAACTGCATAAGGTCACATGAGCGCGCAGGACACACCTAATATTTTCAGTTGGTAGGAAATTTTGAATTTTGCCCATGTGGTGGCCGAAGCCTACTCTTATCGATTTTAGACCACCAAGGGATCTTTAACGTGCGCAATTTGCACACGGGCCCTCCGAGATTTTTCGCCCGTGTCCGAGAAGGCTAAGTGTAGATCTTTCCTACCAGAAGATCAGGGGTGTGGCAGAAAGACAGCAATAAGGAGGAGCCAAGGAGGAGCAGTAGAAAGGCTGCAGAAAGAGTCAGGAGCCCAGAGG